ACCTTCTTCTGGCCTCTGGGAGTGGGTACCTGCACAGGTGTGCATGTGCATACACATACACATAAATAAAAAGTAAATATTTTAAAAAGAACTAGTTCATATAAATAGGTATATTTTAGATACAAACTCATATATACATGTATACACATACATCTATACATATACATATATGTGTGTATGAGAGTCATTGCAGAGAACTGGGGACCTAAATCCGTAACTCCCACAGCTGGATCTTTTAACTAACTCCAATGGTGTCTGCACCACTGGTGGCTTAGAAGAAAATAATGGTACCCTGCATTTCCAAAATGCTTCTAGGTACACTACAACATGGAATCCTGTTAAATCTCATCTCCCTGACTCTGCCTCTTGGGCCAATGGTGACACCTCTGACCTAGGATGTAGGACAGTAGGCCATGCTTAGCCCTTGACTCCTTCCACTGGCAATTCACCAGTGGTCTCTGTTATTTTCGGAGGTATCTAATATACTTTTATTTGGTGTTCCTCCTGACCTAAACTTTTACATTTATCCTATCTTCTAAAGAACCCTCCAGTTGACACTGTGGCCACTGGGGTTAACAGTGTCTGTTTGGAGCTGTGACGCTCAGGAGTCTCTATAGATATTTTTAAAAGCTGATGTGATATGACTTTCACACAGACCCCACTAGTCTTGTCTGCCACTCCTTCCACACTCCAGTTCCTACTTAATCTGAGCACTAGATGAAGCTTCCCACTCACCTGGCTTCCAAGAACCCAACAGTGCTGGACAGCTTCTGTTGTCAACTTAACACACCTGAGTAGAGGGAACTTAAATTGAGGAATTTTCTCTATTGAATTGGCTTATGGTCATGTCTGTGGAGCATTTTCTTGATTGTTGAGTGATGTGGGAGGGCCCAGCCCACTGTGGGTGGTGTTAGCCCTGGGCAGGTGGTCCTGTGTTGTTTAAGAAAGCAGGCTGAGCTTGGGCCAGAGGAGCAGGCTAGTAAGCAGTGTTCCTCCACAGCCTGTGCTCCAGGTTCTGGCCTTGAACGCCTACCCTGACTTCCCTCAGTGATGAACTATGACCTGAGAGATGTAAGGTAAAATAAACTCTTTCCCTCCCAAGTTGATTTTGGTCAGTGTTTTTTATCACAGCAACAGAAAGAAACTAGGACACCAACTTTGTCCTTATTAAGGTTAGTAACTACACATAATCGCCCTTGGGATACAAAACCCTTTACAGATAGCCAAACCTGCAGATATTCAAGTTCCTTGTATCAAATGGCACAGTATATACCCACAAACATCTTCCCGTATTTTTAAATCAACTCTAGATTTTTCACAATTCTTTTTTAAAATTTTATTTATTATTTTTATTATTTTATGTGTATGAGTGTATTGCCTGCATGTATGAGTGCACCTGTGTCATGCAATGCCAATGGAATTCAGAAGAGGGCTTCAGATTCCCCCGGAACTGGAGTTAAGGATAGTTAATAGCCACCATGTGGGTCCTGGGAATCAAACCCGGGTCCTCTACAAGAGCAGTCAGTGCTCTTAACTGTTGAGCCATCTCCCCAGCCCTATTCACAATTCTTATAGCAATGTGTTATGTGAACAGTTGTTAATACTGTACTGTTTATGAAACAATGTCAAGAAAATATATAGACATAATATTTTTTATATACCTTTAATTCATGGTTGGTTGAATGTGTAGCTGTGGAACCCTCAGATGTGAAGGGCTGATTAAGGTCATTTGTGTGGATGCTCTGAGGGTATAAGTCATGCCATGAACATGTGGCAGTTGGGGAAATCCAGTGTATACACGAAGGAGACTAAAAGTTTGAATCTGCCCTTCCTAAATTAAGTGTTGGACAGTTAATAGAAAATCAACAGTTTTGCTGGAGCCTAATGAGCAGCATAGGTCATGAGGTCTCCACCCTCAAAAATGGATGAACGCTGTGAGCAGGTTACGTTTTGCTCCTACATGCCTTCCTTTGTTCCTTAAGAACTTCCTACTAACTACATAGAAGACAGAGATGAGGAGAATGAGATTAGTAAGTGGAAAAACTTGCACCAAGTGCTACTTTGGACAAAATAAGAGTCTGAAGTGAAATTCTGCAGGATCTGGTGACTTACTGTGTATAAGAAACACCAAAGGTCCCACTGACAGGGGATCACAGCTATTAGAATAGAGTAATGTAGATGAGGAACACACTGGATGTGTTATCTGCTGACAATACTCAGATAGTGCAGGTCGTTAAAGGAGAAGTGTCTAGCTAAAAATGTAGGCCTAATTATATCACCTGCTCACCACACTGGTCCCCGTTCAGATAACTGGAAGAGAAACAAATGCTGCCACTATTCTAGCACTAAAGAGGAAGCGTGTGGTATCTTGCACCTGTGGTGTGATGAGCCACAGCAACCAATGAAGACATGGCTGCTTTCCCTTTCCAAGGATGATGAATCCAGATGAAACCAAATGAGTGATGGTTTTGGTCTTCTATTTTAACTGAAAATTTATACTATCACTTTGAGATACAATCACTTTAAGCACAAATTTGATACTACTTAAACATTTTCAAAGGTAAAAAAAATCCTCCCATGTCTGCAAAATGGTGCTAAACCTGAGTGAAAGCCTAATGTGTGACTTCCAATGAAATGCTTCAGAAGACATTTATTCACATCTTTCTTGATATATTCTCAAAATATTAAAGAAAGATTTTTTTGGAAAGGAAAATCTTACAGAGTATCTGGTGGAAGAAAGTGTAGGGCAAATAGGCAGCTCCATCCCTCTGTGTTCTGATAGCAGCTCATCATCAGGAGAGCAGAAGATACAAGACTATTTTTATCCCTTTATACAACCTTTCCACTTCTGCCTCATTTAAACCATGATTGATAAGTGAAATGCTGTGCTTACTTAACATACACAATTTGATGAGTCTGATGACAATACATCATAATCCACACTACAACATGTACTATAAACATGCCTAGTGTGTGTGTGTGTGTGTGTGTGTGTGTGTGTCTATGTGTGTGTGTGTGTGTGTCTGTGTGTGTGTGTCTATGTGTGTGTGTGTGTGTGTGTGGTGTGTGTGTGTGTGTGTGTGTGTCTATGTGTGTGTGTGTGTCTGTGTGTGATAAGACCACCTAAGTTCTGGTCTCTAAGCAGATGAGCCATATGGACCAGTGAAGACATGGCTGCTTTCCCTTTACAAGGACGATGAATCCAGATGAAATCCAGTGAGTGGAATAATATAATTTCTCATTATAGTTTTATTAATCATAGCACCCAAAGCTAGGACTTACTCATTTGTATAACTAGAACTTTGTAAAAGCAGAGGGAAGAACGGTCCCTAGAAGTCGAAGCATCTACCTGCAGTGTGCAATCGATAGAGACCGTCTCCAAGCTCCCAGGTGGAAACTGTGTCAGCAGTGTGACATGCCTTCTAGGGTCTTGCAACCCTCCATTTTCAGAAAGCTCCTTTTAAGGAAGGGGAACCTCAGCACTATATCAGCCTGTGTCTTGAGGGATCTAGCACCAACTATCCCAGCATGAGGAAGATTTACACAATTTAGACAAAACTATCTTATAAGAATTAAGAAACAGTGAATTCACTTTGATCTTGAAAGAGTACTTTGGGTGATATGCCTTACAAGGCCAAAGGTAACAGATACCAAAGTATCTACAGCCACCTACATATGTGTACTCAGAATGAGTACACAATACTGAAGGAATGAATTTTTTTTTTTTTTGGTCTTTTTGAGACAGGGTCTCCCTGTAGCCCAGCTGGCCTGGAACTCACTATGTAGACCAGGCTGGCCTTGAACTCACAGAGATCCGCCTGCCTCTGCCTCCCAAGTGCTGGGATTAAAGGCGTGCGCCACCGTGCCTGGCAGGAATGAATTTTTTAAAAAGGCAAAATACCGAAACAAATTACCATTTCAAAATATTAATTAGAGACATTAAGAATGCCAGGGTCATCAACCTAATTTCTTACTATAGTCTAAATATGTATCCTTATAGTTAAAGACAAGTGCACTTCCTCCCTCTCATCAAAGAAGCTTCTTTTTCAACAGATGGAAACAATCACAAAGTTCACAACTGGTCAAAACACAGAGAATAAGTGACTGTAAGGTGCTCATCCCTGAGTGACACATCTACCACACAACCTCTTGACCTAAGGCTTAGGGAACATCTCGGAAAAGGGGAAGAAAGAGCCAAAGGGACAAGACTAATCAATTCATTCTAGACATGATAGGGAACCTGCACCAATGAAATCTCCACAGTATGGCAGTCTAATGAGAGCTGCATAGTGACCAAACCAGTTGACACGCCAAGGTGGATGGGGAGAATGTCATGGGGTCCCACCTCGAGATAAAGAGCTCAGGCAGTCAATGGATGTTGAAGGAGAGAGAATCAGTTTTCTTCAGGGACTAGTGCCTGAGAGGCTATCTAATCCCAAGTGGGCAGCCCTAAACACAGGTACACATGAGCACCAATAAATGGACTCAGTTGATTATATGTATGTATGTATGTATGTATGTATGTATGTATATGTAACAATAATAAGAAGAAAACAAGAAATTGAGAGGACATAGGGATGACATGGGAGGAGATAGAGGGGGGCTCAGAGGGGTAGAAATAATGTAAATCCAGAACTCAGGCATGAAATTCTCACAAAATAAAAATGAATAAAATAAATTTTAAAAATAGTAGGGTCATTGCTATTCATACACAGAAATGTATACATGAATTCACTTTTTAAGAAAAAGGCAAAGAGCATAGAAGACGAACCCCATGTTGATAATTCACACAGGGTACATCCATGATGATATAAGAACCATGAGATGTCGGGCTCACAGTGTGCTGCACTATTACCAACAGAAATAAATGATAAAGTTTGTCATCAGCACTTCAATGAATGAAATGACCTGAATTTTCTCTCTTCTATCACACTCTGTGGTACTGTAACTCTGCAGAGGACACACAAACTACATGGAGGCCAGGGATGGGGCTGGCTGACCTGGAGCAGGATTTGAGGGCTGCCTGGTGTAGGACACATTGAATGTGGGCTCCTCGATAAGCGGTGGTGGATACATACGCCTGCGGATGAAGAAACCCGCTCCGCAGCAGAAGAGCACACCCATCATCAGCAGGAACCTGCAAAGAACACAGACGTGAGGCTGAGGCCAGGCTTGAGGACACTTCCTTTTGACAAAAAAGGTTGAGGAGTCTTGAAATATCATTTCCCCATGGCAGGCAGAGAAAGCCGGCCAGCTGCAAGACACTCCCAGTCAGGAGAGCATGTATCACCACCTTGGTCTTCTCTGGATGGTTTCACCTTGTGACATTCCTCCTGTGGATGACAGCCAGGAGATTCTTGCCCTGCAAACTCCTGGGATATACCCAGGATAGGAGCCAGTAACACTGAAAAACTGTAAACAATGTCTATCTCAAGTAGCTCTAAATGGTTGACTTCAAAAGGTTGGTATAGTTACTGCCTGGTTCATGGCTCTAATCTCAACTCAGTATTTTAGTCTAAACAGAAGATGCTGCCAAATCCTTCTCAATGAGAAAGCAAATCCAGCCTCTGTCGGGCTATTTCCCCATTTCTAAGTCTTCAGTGTCAAGGACATAGAAGTTGTACCTTTATCCTTCCTAACACACTTTTCCATTACCAGATGAACATCTATAAAGAAAATAGATGTGCTCTTCCTAGAGCACTGCTTAATTACTAGAAAAGTAAGAGAGAAAACACAATAAAACATGAATATTCAGAAAAACTCTAGGTATAATATTCACACTAACCCTAGGTTATAAGTATCACTGGTCACTCTCCAGATCTTGACACTAAAGTCTAACTGGCAAGGGAAAGGTGTGCTTTAAGGATAAGACCTTTGTGCGGACCATCTAAGAATTCTTATTTACTAACAGATCATCAGTATTCTGTAATCAGACTTAATTCACTTTGCTTTTTCGATTCCTCTTTTCATTAATACACTTTGCTTTTTCAATTTCTCTTTTTGTTCTACCCCGCCTTCAATATGGCGTTTCTCCATTTTGCAACATCCTGGTGACAGGTGCAGCTGTAATGCAAAACCCTGCTGCCTGGATCCATTCCAGATGTGTGAGAACCTCCAGGAGCTGGCTCATCAACAGAGCAGTCCTGTCAGTCTTTATTTGGCATCATGTGCTTTACAATGCTAATAAAGGGTACTAACAGCTGTCTTTTTTTAAAACCTGACAATTTCATTCCAACCTCCTTGGCTAGAGATTACTTAAGACTTTAGAGCTGGCAGGGTCTCTTAAAACCATTCTCGTCCAAATCATAGAAAAGAAACAGAAGTCAGCAGAGGGGCCAAACTGATGCCACAGCCTCTCATTCAGCCCCAGACATCTCCATCATATGCAGATGCTGATTCTTAGCTAGAACATCCTGACTGAAAGAGCAGCTCAAAAGTTTTGCAGCTTTTCCCAGGCTTCCTGGCATCAGAGGCTGTGAACACTATTTGCAGAGCACTGGCATAAAGCAACCTGCTTGCTATTATCTGCTTAGACATCTGTCTCTTTCAAGAATGTAGCTGTCACAGAGGCCTCTCCATAGGAGCCCCAGAATCCTAGGCACCTCAGATTTGCTGAGAGAAGACATGTATGGAGCAGACTCTAAGGGCCTTTTATATTTCAGCTAGGGCACCTCCAACTGACATCCCCAGATGTTCTGGCTATACCTTCAGATGAAATTCATGTCATAATCTCAACTCTAGTAACCTGACCAAGTCTTCTGGCAAGTGGCTCTTTGACTTTGCAAGAGCCTTACTTTATGGGACTCATGAAAGCTTCTGTGTGTAAAAGACACTGCTCAGCCCATGTGCCATCTCATCAAGTTCCCCTGCCTCTGACAAGTGACCTTGGCCAAGAACTCAAAAGCACTTGGAGGCCAGTTCAGATGAAGCTGAGCACAGTAAGCACCAAGGTGCTAATAGTTGCAGGTTTTCTTATTATTCTTTTTTTAAAAAAAAAAAAAACAGCTAATCTTTGATAAGTTTTATCATTTTTAGATCCATTCCCATAACCTTACCATACTGCATCTAGTACTATCAGCCCAGCACACACTGCAGTCCTGCTTCCTGCCAGGAAGTACTCTCAAGGAGATTCCTCAGTGAGAACAAACCCTGCACTGAGACCTGAAGTCTCATTTCCTGTGTCCTCCTGTCCCGTTTTGATTCTAGTTCTTTTACTTTAAGATGTAAACAGAGATGCTTATTTTTTGGAGAATTTGGCTAAAGAGGCTCATCTTCTTACAGAGTTTTACTTTTTTTTTTTTTTTTGGTCTTTTGGAGACAGGGTCTCCTTGTAGCCCCAGCTGTCCTGCATCCTCCTGCCTCTGCTTCCCAAATGCTGGGACTAAAGGTGTGCGCCACCACGCCCGGCCAATTTAAATGTTTAAATTGGTGTCTATTGATAGTACATAGCACTGGGTTTCATAATTCTTTCAAGTAGATCATGTACTGTGAACACATTCATCCCTCAACTCTCCCTGTTCTCTGCCCTCCTCCTGCTAGTCTCTTTCCTCCAGTCTCCCTTCCACTTTCACGTCATGTAGAGAAACAGTTTTATGTATCTATAAGCAAATCTATGATCTACAATGAAAGAAAACATGGAATAAAATGATTTATTTTGCTTTATGTCAGGTCATTACTTAAATCTGTCTTCCAAGAGACAATGTAATTTTATTCTTTGGTTAAATAAAACTCAATTGTGTATAAATACCACATCTTTTATTAATTCATCTGTTGATGACTACCTAGGCTGATTTCATAACTTGGATAGTGTCAATAGTGCTGCAATAAATATGGATGCCTGAGCATATCCATGATGTGGTGACTTAAGAGTCCCTAGGGCATATACCCAGACTTGACACAGCTGGATGATATAGTACTTGTATTTTTAAGTTTTTTTGAGAAACCATTACACTTATTTCCACAGTGACTGGACTAACTTACATGCCTGCTAGCAACGTATATGGGAGCCTTTTCCCATAGAGCTTCACCAGCATTTGTTGGTGCCTGTTTTCTTTATTATGGACATTCTGACTTGGGTGGGATGGAATCTCAGTGGTATTTCATTCACATCTCCCTGATGGCTGAGGATGTTGAACTCTTCTGCATGTAGTTATTGACTATTAATCCCTCATCTTCTGAGAACTGTCTGCTTGTTTCATTAGCCTATTTAGTGAATGAAGTGTCAGAGTTTTCAGTATTTAGTTTTTAAGAGGTCTTCACATATTCTGGCTATTAATCCTCTGTCAGATGTACATCTATCAAAGCCCTCCCCGTTTATCGGCTCTCTCTTCATTCAAACTGCTTCCTTTGCTGTGCACTTTTTAATTCCCTACAATTATATTTGTCGATTCTTAGTGTTACTTCCTGAGCTAATGGAGAGCTGTTCATAAAATCTTTGCTTGTCCCTACAGCTCGAAGTGCTTATCTGTTTTCCTCTAACAGTTCTAGACTTTTAGAACTTATGTCTTCAATCAATTTTGACTTGATTTTTGTACCTGCTCAGGAATACGTGTCTCATTTCATTCTATTACGTATAGCTACTCAGTTTTCCCAGCACCATGTGTAGAAGATGCTATCATTTTTCTTGCACATATTTTTGGCACCTTTCAAAAAATTAAGTAGCTGTCGTTATTTGGATTAATCTGTGCCTACCAACACATTCCATTAATCTATGTACATGGTTTTGTGCTGGCACCATGCTGTCTCTGCTGCGATGGCTCTGTAGTAGGACCTGAAACCAGGTATGGTGATACCGCTAGCATTATTTTTCAACTTGGGAATGCTTGGCCTCTCCCAGTTCCTTTGTGTTTCTGTGTGAATTTTAAGAATGGTGGTGTTTTTGTCAGTGCTGGTGCTTTTCCGTTAATCTTTATATTTCTGTGAAGAATGGCATTGGAATTTTGACTGGAATCACACTGAATCTGGCAGGCTGCTTTTGTGGTAAGAGTGCTGTTGCCACAATATTGATTCTCCCAATTCATGAACATGGCAAGTCTTTTCTTCATCTAGTGCCTCTGTGAATTTCTTTCTTCAATGTTTTAAAGTATTCATTGTAGAGGTCCTTCACTTCCTTGATTAGTTTATTCCAGGGTGTGTTTTTTTTTAATTGCTCATGTTTTGAGGCAATTGTGAATGTGATGTTCATTATGTATGTCACTGATACACAGGAAAACATTTTTGGATGTTAATTTCCTACCCTGCTACTTTACTCAAAATATTTATCTGCTCTAAGAGTTTTGTGGTGGATTCTTAGGGTCTCATATAGAATCATATCACATACACATAAGGACACTTAGACTTCCTATTCATCTTCCTTTGATTCCTTCACTTGCCTTACTGCTTAAACTAAGACTTCATACACTATATTGAATAGGAGTGGAGATAGTGGACAACCTTTTCCTGATACTAGTGTGATAAATTCTTCTGAGCTTTTGTCCATTTACAATTATGTTGACGGTAGGTTTGTCAGATATAACCTTTATTATGTTGAGATATGTTCCCCCCATTTCTTATTTTTTCAAGGCTTTTATCATGAAAGGATATTCAATTTCATGAAAGGCCTTTTCTGAACCTACTGCAATGATCATGTGATTTCTATCTGTGAGACCATTTATGTGATGCACTAAATTCATCAATTTGCATATGCTGAACAATCCCTTGGTATCTGGAATGAAGACATCTTGATGATGATGAATGATCTTTTTGATGTGGTCTTCAGTTCACTTTTCAAGCACTTCACTGATGATTTCATTGAGAATTTCTGCAGGCATGGTCATCAGAGATACTGGTCCATAATTTTCTTTTTGGTTGTTGTATCTTCATCTGGTTTGGGTATCAGGGTAATGCTGGCTTTGGAAGTGCCCCTTTTCTATTTTATGGAGTAATTTGAAAAGCATTAGTATTTACCTTCTCTTTAAAGGTTTAGTAGAATTCACCAGTGACTCCATCTGGGCCTGGGCCTTCTTTCGTTGTTACTTTAAAAATTATTGCTTCAATATTGTTGCTTGTTAAAAATTGGATTAACTGTTTATTTCATCTTGATTTAACTTTAGTAGATCTCATATACCTCCAAAATTTCATCTATTTCTTTTAGACTTT